CCAATGAGACCAGATCCGATTGAACCTAACCCAAAAATAATATATATATAAATATTATGTTAAATATACATAAATAGAGAAATGATCTTATAGGACCTTCCTCCACTCGTGTGTAGAACTTTAAAAGATTACCATTAAATTTGACACGGATATATAGAAAAGCCAAATCCTACATACATGTGATAATTTTTCTAAATATTTGTGCTAACTTTAACGGTGATCCTTTGGAATCTTACACACATAAATAGAAAAAAATCCCATAAAATCATTACTCATTATTTAAATAATATAACTAAAAATACTATTTAAATAATAACACCATATGAGTCGGATCCGATCGCTAGGTCTCAAGTCTATTGCCAGTCCCAAGTCTATTGCCATCCCTATGATCTTAGCGATGGAAAGGAGCATCTTTGTTGATCATCATTGGCGGAAAGGAGCATCTTTGTTGATCATCATTGGCGGAAAGGAGCATCTTTGTTGACCATCATTGGCGCTAGTCAATAAAGACATAATCCATTTCAGCCCTTGGCTTATATGTGCCGGTCGTAGTGAGCCATCGTGGACTTTAACCTAAGAAAGCTTATTTTTAGTTACTCTGTTCAGAATAAGTATCATTCTTTAAACTGATTTGTCATACTCCTAATTGATGTCAGGCAAAATATCATGGATATTTTATAGATAAGCATGATTTAGAGGCTAAGTGATCTTGTTGAATCAAATTGAAACCAACTCATGAATTTTGAAACCAAATTCATCAAAGATTGTACAGATGATGCGAATGTGTATGTTTACTTCATTTGTTAGCATGAAGTGTTTCAAAACCGAGATCGGTAGGGTGGATCGTCCACCCCTACACATGCATGTCGGATTGCAAGATCACTAATATGGATTTGTCCAAACAGGCGACAAGGAAAAAACACTACAAAAGAGAAAAACAGATTTTTTTTTATTTTTTATTTTTTATTGGCGTGTATTTTTTCTCTTTTTTTGGCAAGAGGGGAAAGGGGGGGGGGGCGGATTTGAGGTGGTTATATATAAGGGAGCTAAGGAAATATTAGATAAGCTTGAGGTTGTGAAATTTTGAATTTTATTTCTATTAGGCCCGACTCAAAAAGAGTAATGAAGATTAGAAAAGCTAGGCAAATGATTACCGATGATGACAGATGGGAGTGGTGCAATAGATCCATTTTGTTATTTTTGGAAATAAATTGCATTAAATGAATTTGAGAAATGTAAACAAATTATTTTGTTGTACTGGTTTTTGTTTGATGGGGGTCTATGCATTGATGTGGACAGATTCACATTTAGTTTTTGGTCAATGTTAAATTGAAATGGCAGTTCTATTAATACACAAGTCCATTATCTCTTACTCTCTCTCTTATATACTCACACACACGTCCTAGTATTATTATGAGGACAAGGGCCCTTAAAAGGTTCCAACAATTGTTGTGCCTTACAAGGTTCTAAAAGCATCGTTGTCTGTAGTTAGAGAAGATGTTGAAATGCCATGAACACTTGATCCAATCCATAACCCAATTACAAAGCAATCTTTTATTTAGAGAGAGAGAGAGAGTAGAGAAAATGATGATGCCATGCACTCGTTGCATTTCCGCTTGATGCAGATCTCGAACTCACTTCAGAAGCAATCTTTTTGTTTCAAAGAGAGAGAGTGGGGGGAGCCATGAGACTTTCATCAAATTTTTTTATTTTCAGCAATTTCTTTCATATATTCGTAAAAATAATTCTAGAAAAAAAAAAGAAAAAAAACACTGATTATTCCATCAAGGAAAAATACAACTAGTTACATTACATATTACATTCAACAACTTATAACCTTCTATGTAATAAGCACTAAGTAATATTTTAGTTACATTACATATTACATTCAACAACTTATAACCTTCCCTGTAATAATCACCGAGTAATATTTGGGCATTGAACCATTACCTCAAATTCCTTCATAGTTAAAGTTAGTAAGCATCAAGTAATATTTGGGCATTGAACCATTGCCTCAAATTACTTGCGACCTAAAGTTAGGAAGCACCGAGTGATGTATGCGCATTGAACCATTGCCTCAAATTCCTTGCTAACTAAAGTTACAAATGACTGTGGCCTGCATAATTATGTCATACCAAAACCTCAAGCACATCAGGTTCAGAACAACAGCCATGCAACACTTTTAGGCTCATATTCATTGTTGATCAAACCCCCAAGCCTCAATCTAATCCAACTAATGCCACCCACGCCATGCTCACTATGGTTACCTAAAAAAACAATCTTCATTGATAATTCACTCTACATAGATTGCAAGGTATGCATCAATTATGACTAGGAAAAAAAGAGTTTTGAAATTCCAGAAACGATTTTTGTATTTGAATAAACCTAAAGGATTTCATAGCATAAAATAAAAATAAAGCTCCAATCAACTAGCGTCATGATAGTATCCACTAAACTTTTACATTGAATAACAACAAATTGGTATTACCATGGTGTGAAAATTAATTACAAAAAGGAATTTTAAATCTCGAATCTTTGAGCATTATTGGATAAAACAAAAAAATTACAATGTAACTGAGGCAAAAATTCAATTTTTACAGGCCACCTGGAAAACACAACCTCTTCTTCATAGACACCTAAAAAAAAAAATCAAAGTAAGATAATAATAATATCAACAATATTAATAATTCATTTTAGTGTATCTATCAAAAAAAACGAAAACAGAACCTCTTCATAGATGACTAAAAAAAAATTCAAAGGAATATAATAGTATCAATAATACCAATAATTCATTTTACTTTATCTATAAAAGAAACAAAAAAAACAAATAAAGATTTTTCCCTACTGTAACAGTAACATTTTTATTTTTAAAAAAATTATTGAAGTACGCTTTCTTTCTAGCTAGGGCTTTTGTACGCTAAAGAATTTGAATCCTTTTTTGTCTTACTTCCTTGAGAGAAAGCAAATATGGAGAGAGAGAGATTGATTGAGGGACAGGGGAGAGAGACGGAGGGAAAAGGAGGAGAGTGAGAAAGGTAGAGTAAAAATTTCTTCACAACCATTGTTTTCCTCGAAGCATAAATTTTGGACGCCAGTTTTTCTTTGAAACATTTTTTTTTTTTTTGGGTCTTGGATTGAAGTATCTTAGGTTGGTTTCTGAAACAAAAATGGAGCATCTCTGTCGATTGATTGCTTTGACATAGAGAGTTGTTAGATCATTTTATAGAGAGTAGAAATTTTCTTACCGGTTATGATTAGGGATTAGGGCTGATTTATCCCTCTTCCTTGTATTTTCTATATTGGGATTCCACGTCGAGAGTTCACAAGGATGGGGCGAGAGAGAGATATGGAAGGAAAAATGGCGGAGAGAGAGGCAAAGCAAAAGTCAGGAGAGAACGAGAGAGAGCTCGGGGGACAAGAGAGAAGATAGGTATACGCAACAATAGTGATTATAAATCCCTCTCAAAACGAAATTTCGGCACCCTACTTGTTTCTCGCTTTTTCTACAAAATTGCTAACAAATTCGACTCAGAATTTCACCATAATTTTAAACCCAATGATCAATCTAAGACATCAGGACAATCAAATTCCATAACACCAAGTCATGAACTCACGAATTTCCCACCAAAAGTAACTAAAAAAATTGAATAAATAAACCAGTGCTGAGAATATCAGATGATAAACCCTAGAGAGAGAGACAGGGGTTAGGTTTTTAATTGAAGCATGACTGGAGGTTTTTAATTGAAAAGATTACCATTGCAAGAACTGGGAAACGTTAAGATTGTGGATGGTAAAAATTTACAATGAGAAATGGGAAAACTAATCTTTTCCCCCTAAAGTAGGTTGAAGACAGAATGATCCTGGGGAATTACAATGAGAGATGCGAAAACCATTCCCATTCCCTCAAAGTGGGTCAAAGACAAATAATGGTCACATAGAACCCACCTGGCCTTGTGTCGTTCGTCGTGTTGGAGATATGTTAAACATTCCGTTTGTTGGATATATGTTGAAAGAAAACGCTTAGCTCATAATTCATCACCATCTAAAATCTAATATATGAATGTTTTTGGTTCGTGTAAAAATATATGTTAAAAAATATTTTCATGTAAATTGTTTTTTCTTACGTACTTGAGTGTGAATATATTTTCATACCAATTGATTGTAAGACATCTTTTTATACCAATTGACGACTAATTTATATAAAATTATTCGCACTTGACCACATAGAATTTTTTATGTGAAACCTTGCTTCAAAAAGTATTTTCATAGCGTTTACACTTTTCTATGAATTTATAACAATTGATGACTAATTTATGTAAAATTATTCGCACTTGACCACATAGAATTTTTTATGTGAAACCTTGTTTCAAAAAGTATTTTCATAGCGTTTACACTTTTCTATGAATCAAAATAACCTCAAATGTAAAACCTTGTTTCAAAAAATATTTTCACTCAAACCAAACGTGCCATAGCGTTTGTACTTTTCTATGAATTAGATTAACCTCAAATTTAGAGTGTAACCTCCACATTAAGACACAAAAAATGTAAAAGAACAATTGAAATAATAAAAATGACCATATACCCTTATGAATATATTGAGGGTAATTTAATTAATTAAATTTTTTTAATTCGTAGTGACTAGATGTAAACATGCCATATATTTGACAATTATTCTAATTTACATAAAAATATCAAAATTCAGACATGTAAAAATAATTGAAGCCATCTAATAGACTTTGACATTGACGAGCCTTGAACAAATAAAACACATGTTAAGAGATGTGAGTTAATTTAGGTGGGAATGACTTAAAAAGATAAAAAATAAACCCAAAAAAACATGATCGGAAGTTGTTCGAAAAGATATAGATACTTAGTATGGTTTTTAGTAGAACATAAAGATTGACCAGCATTTGTATAACCGACCCCAATTAATTGGAAAAAAGCTATGATGATGATAAGGAGCTTTGAACAAAGTATTACAGCTATTCACTCACAAGGGCTTTTGTGTATTTTACTGTTTTTCATATTAGGAATCTTTTTCTCTTTTTTCTTTTTCCCCTAGAGAGATATTATAGAATTGAATTCCTAACTTAAAACAATTCTACAAGAACATGCGCTCTGCATAGAAATAAAAATGATACATGACAAATAAGACCATCTCACAATCTCATATATTTCCACATTTAATTAGCAATTATTCTTTTTGCCTTTGTGCTTCTTCCCCTTCCCCTTCCCCTTCCCCTTTTTCCTCCCTTTCTGAATCATGTGTGTGTCCTTACCATTCTTTGAGGCTCCATTCCCATCCATCAGATGCTTTACATTCAAAACCCCATTCTTGAAGTAACCTTCAGTAGCCCTTAGCACTCTATCCCCTGCTTTACGCTTTTCAATTTTCCTCGTAGGCTTTGTAAATCTTCCTAAAATCATCTCCTGAAAACCAAACAAATGTGACCCAAAAAGAATCACTTGCACAGAATCTTCAAAAACATTGCAACACCAAAATTCCAAAGCAAGCCAAACGAATGCTCACCTCTTGCAACATTTTCTGTTCTCTGTGCAGCTGATTCTTTTTCATTAACTTTGCTTGGTTGATGGGTATCTTTTGGTTCTTCGGAGGCTGTTGACAAAAAGGAAAAACAGTTCTTAGAGGCAAGTTTCCACTTGGGTCACTCGGTAGTGAATTTAATGTGATAAACTTAATAATACTTTTTAGCACTACAAAATATGAAAGAACAATATTTCTTTAGGAAGGGCCAATTAGACCACCAGTCTCCAACCCTGAACTTCCCATTCTTTTTTATCCCACGGACCACTTACTGCACAGTCAAGGCGGTAAAAACCACTGGCTTCGGGCAACACCCAGTGGCCATGAAAAAGGGGAAAGTAGAACTAAGTAAGGGCCACATAGTTAAAAGTCCAATTCACATGAGTGCAATTAGCTCTAGAAGGGGGAAGTAGAACTAACTCAAGGCAAGTGCCAATAAAATCACCAAGCATGTATTTTATGACATTCCTGAGAGAGTGCTAGAATAGTGTTCTCACCTTTCCACCCAAAGCAACCACCCTGCAGTTCTCCATGGCCTTCCTCTCTTTCCAGCTCATTTGTGAAGAACCTACAAGCAAAGCAAAATCAAGTCAAAAATGGAAAAGAATCTCTATTAAAAGAGAAACCCTCTTGTTCAGGAACCAAATAGATCCTTGACATAGCAAGTAATAATTCAGCATATAAAGCCCCAAAATATGCAGAAGCAAATATGCATTGGGAGTAAATATTAGCTATCAAATCCGTCCAAAACTGAGAACCGGATTAGTAGATTCCTCAACGAGCCAACAATAAGTTGGAGCATGGACTTTATCGAAGGAAAAGAATGTATCGGAGTATGTTGGTTAGGACAATGAAAGAATGACGAAGACCATCAGTTCTATGATGATTGTGGTAACACTACAGGGGATACAAAGGAAATAGGCTATTGTAGGCATAGATGCATGGAGAAGGGTTCCTCATGTAAGGGAGGACATGATGCTTCACAGTGATCAGTGAATTGTCAGGCGCCAGCTCCAAAGAGTAGGAGCAAGGGGAGAAGGGTCCATGAGTTCAGGAACCGGTACTAGAGAGACAAGTATAGTTGATCCAATCAGAAGGTAAAAGAAATTTTCTTAGAACTTGGGACATGGTTCTGAGGAAGAAACTAAATGTTAGTAAAACGCTGGGATATCATTCAAAGTAGCCATATTTAAGGCTATAGCATACTTAGTAAGGCCTCCAAACCACGAGCTTCAGGACTCGGCATCTTATGAGAAGATTTGAAGTGTCAGAGATGATGAAATATGCAATAACCAAAAAGAGAACAGCATGCACTGTTATGCATGATGATTGAAAAAACATACTTGCAAGTTGTAAGGAACGTACGCCCTTGCAATTCTATTAGTGCACTGAATATTTTCACATAATTTATTATGTCATTTGGTTTGAGTGCTACATTTAGAGGAGAATTACAACATCTTGCCTAAAATGACAGAGGATGCAATATATAATGTACTAGAATAAAGTCAACGAATAACAACTCTCAAAGCATGCTCCTTCAAGATTTTATCCAAATGAGAAATCAAAAGTAGGTATTTGGTTGCCAACTGCTGCCCATTGCATTAGATTTGATTTTTTTAAAACCTTGGACAAAATTCCGATCATTGAACATCACAAAGAGAAGGATGAAAACTTCCATGATTTGTTTAAAATCATGAACCAGCTCTTAATGTATTAAGTCATATGGGAGAGAGGGAGCTGACGAGGAAACGATCACCAGATTCACCTTTTCATTAAACACAGTGAAGCATATTAGTACTTTACTCAGGCTTGAAGAAAATGTTATCATTAGAAGACAGGCATCAAATTGGTACTTCACACATTTAATTGGCGAAGAATGCTCAGGCATCGATGTCAAAAGTATAAAATGATAGAAATTCTGACAGAAGTTCAAAGTGGAGATGAAGGGAATTGGTCCACTCGTTGAAGTGCTAAGGCTTGTTGGTAAAAAGGCCAAAGATAAATCATTCAAAGATATTGTAGATTTTTTAGGGCGTTCCCTGTAAGCAGCCTGCAGTAGAATGAGCAAGAGTTAGTTAGGGATTGGCCCTTGATGGGGCAGAATATCGGAACAGGATTCGGGTAACCAACCCCAATTAGTTGGTATAAGGCTTTGATGATGATGATGATGATTTCATAGAACATCGATGCCAGACAAGGTAAGTAATACAGTTGGTAAGCCCATGCCTTGGGTACATTGATTCATTTTATTTCTTTCAATTTCGATCATTTATGTCATAAATTTTCTAAATGCCTATTTAAGGTTTCTAAATTCTTGCATAATACCTTGATGACGGAAAGTTATTCTTTTTTTATATCTGTTTTGGCAGGTTAAATATAATCTCTTCATTAATTGTATATTTGAATTAGAGCTATTTCTCACTTAACTTTCCAGATTTCTGTGTAGAAGAATCCAATCAAGAAGTTTGACAAAGACATGACAATCCACTTCAGGAAAATCAACTCATTTTAAATTCCTCAATTTTCATAAGTTAACCATTGCAGTGCATTTAAAATTAAGACATAGTAAATAGATATTCATAGGTCAAACTTAATAGTCAAAAGTTTTTATACATCAGAAATTGCACCAAACCCATTGCCTAGAATTATGAATAATAACCATCAAAGTGTTGAGTGAGATGTGATTGACTACAATTGTGAGCAAAGTTTATAACGCAGTGTGAGCTCTTAGAAGGTTGGTTGGTGGCAGAGGGAAAGTGCCCACTTGAGAACAACAAGACTCCCGGTAATTCACAGATTGAGATTACAAATGACCTAGAGAGTAGCAGCCTAGAGTAGATCAACCAAAAACTAGCCAAACCAAAGGAAACAATTGAATGGAAGTGGCAATGGGAATGGTGCGGCAGCTAAAGATTCCATGCACAGACTCTCTCCAAGGCCATAGAGGGTCTATGTCAGTCAGTCTTCATGGTGTTGATGGTTTTGGTGTCATGAGAAGCCATGAGAGGAATACCACATGTATGAAAACAGTGGTAATTAACATAAGTCACAAGACTGGAAAATGTAAGGATCAGGCCAACCATGGAGTGCATGTTGATCATTGCTTGCAACCACTTTATTTTCTATCATTATTTACAAGGCTGTAATGTCAAATCTGTCACACATCATTCGAATGTAGTGGAATAATAGAAAAATACATATTGGTTTGAAATCTCGCATCGCATACATGTTAGAGTTGTTTTGTAGATTCTAAGTATTTTTATCTATAAATTCGATTATATTTGGCAAGTAAGATAACGGATGTTTACAAGAGTAAAGTTTTGCTACTTCATTGTCCAAATGTCTCCCATTCCAAAAACACACCTTAGAGATGGATTTAGCATCTAAAACAAATAATAAATCACTCTAGATGCATTTCTGATTTAGATCGATGATTTTGAAACCCAAAAAAAAACTAATGATTTGCATAGAATTAAAATGAATGGGCAAAAAACAATGTTTAAAATGATCTATTTTTAAGGTTCAAAGACCATTATTTCCGGATTAACAATCATGGGTCAAAATTATCAACCTGTGAAATATTAGATCCAAAACCCATCTCTAAGATGGACTGTTGGAAGGAGACCGCATTTGAATTAAGATCACCTAAATCACAGCCTAGGTATAAAGCAATGCTTATCATCTAGAGGTATTATCCATACAAAATAAGCTGCAAAAAACATTCTTTGTATATGAAATTCATAAAAACATTTAAAGTATTTTCATTTATTTTTTGCTTGTCTTTTAGATTCTTTATACCCAAAGCTCTCAGTGACCTTGATCCCTCAACAAGCTCTAGACCTCAACTACCCCCTCCAAAAAAAAAAAAAAAGAGAACTATAAAAGAAAAGAAAACATGGGCATGCACACAGGCAAACACACAAAATCCTTGCTCCAATTGGTCATTAGACCTTGGAACTAAGATGTCTAGATACAGGCGTGGATATAAACACATGCATAACAGGAATATGACTGGTATATCTCGAAATCTAGAATATGGATACGACAACAAGTATCCCATCAACCGCATCTAAAAGTATAATATCTAAAAATATATAATATCTTGTATAATACAAAACTATATCTATGCAAGACATTGATACACATTTGTAGCATAACATAATGTGTAATGTTATATATATTTTTTGGGTAAGTGTGTAATGTTATATTTTATCCATGGTATATGTTAATGTTTAAGAACGCAGAAGGTGCTGCCTACTAGGCAGATGCCTCATGATCCCAAAGAAAACAAAGATAAAGGATAAGACAAGGTTGCTTCAAGATATATATATATATATATATATATATATATAGAGAGAGAGAGAGAGAGAGAGAGAGAGAGAGAGAGAGAGAGAGGAGAGAGAGAGAGAGAGAGAGAGAGAGAGAGAGAGAGAGAGAGAGAGAGAGAGACGACGACGAGACGAGTAGACGTACGTACGACGTACGACGGTACGGTACGGACGGTACGGTACGGTACGGTACGGTACGGTAC